GGTATGGATGTTGTTGAAAAACTTCATTCGAGGATAATGCGGATGGAAAAGGTAATGTTAAAAAAGTGGCGTGGTTGTTTCTAGATTATGATGAAAGTGGAGTTGTTATATTTAGCTGCATTCGTATAATGCTGACTGTCGTTCCCAAATAATACAATTTTTATCAAATTTAAGCACTATTATTATTTGTAGTTTGCAAGAAAAACGGTAACACTATTATTTGTTTTGAAAGAAAAAACCGCTGATTACCAACGGTTAAAATAACTGTTAATTGTTACAGAACACTAGATTAATAGTAGAATTTACAATTATTTTATTATATGTGTGGGGCACAACTGAGTTTTTAAGAATTCGTGTTATTAATGCTGAAAAACTTACCTGGTAAGGTCAGTTGGGTATCCAATTATTATAACTCTCTGTTGTGAAAGTTGTCCGTTTAAAGAAACATATTTAGGCTGACGATACGAATAAAAAATGCTGATTAAAATTACTATATTACAATTTAAGTGTAATTCATCTTTTGAGGAAAAAATATATCTAGCATTAACCTTCTTGGTAAACACATTTATTTTACAACTAAATGTTTATTAAAAAGCTAACCAAAATGTGTTGTGTTAACCCAGCAGGCGTAAAAAAACCAAATGTAAATTTTATACAACAATTATGTAGACATTCATGCGTTGTATAGAAATTATCCTTATGAACCTATTGTTTATAATAATGGGTGCTTGGTGTTGTACTTTTATGTAAGAATTTTACATTCTTTTTCCGATGGGTCAGTTATACATTTGCAAAAAGAAAATAATTACAAAAGTGCTATTTGGACACCGACTTATCATCATAACAACTTTGAAAATCATTATAGTGTCACGTTTTTTCATGATGTGTTATCATGAATCTATATTATTATCTTCAGAAACGTGACGAAAATCATTACATGAATAATTCATTCTAAATTTAAATCTAAACAACGCATTTTATGCATAATATTAAGGAAAGAATAAAGATAAAAAAAATTGAATTCTAATATGTATGTAAGGATATATATATATATACATATACATATACATATACATATACATATACATATACATATACATATACATATACATATACATATACATATACATATACATATACATATACATATACATATACATATACATATACATATACATATACATATACATATACATATACATATACATATACATATACATATACATATACATATACATATACATATACATATACATATACATATACATATACATATACATATACATATACATATACATATACATATACATATACATATACATATACATATACATATACATATACATATACATATACATATACATATACATATACATATACATATACATATACATATACATATACATATACATATACATATACATATACATATGCATATGCATATGCATATGCATATGCATATGCATATGCATATGCATATGCATATGCATATGCATATGCATATACATATACATATACATATACATATACATATACATATACATATACATATACATATACATATACATATACATATACATATACATATACATATACATATACATATACATATACATATACATATACATATACATATACATATACATATACATATACATATACATATACATATACATATACACACACATATATATATATATATATATATATATATATATATATATATATATATACATATATATATATATATATATATATATATATGTATAATGTATCTTATATCTATATAAGTGTGTGTATGTTAAGTTCATATAAATTAATTTTTTACTTACTGGATTTTTCCACTGAAACGCATAACGTATATTTTTTATATATATATATATATATATATATATATATATATATATATATATATATATATATATACAGAAAGAGAGAGAGAGAGAAAGAGAAAGAGTGAGAGAAAGAAAGAAAGAAAGAAAAAAGGCCTACATACATCGACCATGGTCAAAATATGAACGTGAGAGAAAATCTCAATATTTGTGTTCTGTGTTGAAAACATTCACACGTAGGCAACCTCTGTTAACTCATAATGTCGTACATCGACCTCAGTAGTTACAAAAAAAAATAATGCTACCTTCGGGAAAAGTAAGGAAGACCTTATTCCTGAAGTAGTAGGAGTACAAAAGGCGTTTTTTTTTTCAAGAAACCTTAAATGGTTGTTAGAAATCGTGAAACATATTATATCCTTACATTGTTTATTGTTGTGAAAAAAATATTTTAAAAGACGTCAAAGACATTAGGGTTTTGCGTAGTAGAAGTAACTTTCTAAAATAATAATTATACAGTATATTCTATGCCGTTGTGTGGAGAAAAATAATTGACGATAGATGGTATTCATTTAAGTAATAATTGCAATAGGCCTACATATTAAAATATTTGTCCACATGAAATTAACTGGAAAAATAATTGTAATATAAAGTTCTAGTTCTTTTATCGTCGAATACTATGCTTATTTTACTTACTTTTGTATTATTAATTGACGCGCAATAAAATAAATCATTCTTAAGTTTAACTATATATACTGCCAAGCTTCGCTCAGGTTTGCTAAAACATTGAGAGTTTTAATGCTTATTTAGTTAGTGATTGGCTGATATGGAAAACTTAAGATTAAACAGTAATAGTAATTTCTGAGAATTCCTGGAATGTTCAAAATTTATTACTTGAAATGTAATTAGAACTACCAAGGTTCCCTGAATAGTTATATTATATTATCTTAACTTTTAAAATTAACTACAGCATTTTAATTAGCATACATACTTTAATACTTTAATACTTAACACACATTATACTCAAATGAATGCTATACTTCTTCATTGTCTGTGTTTAAAATAGTATAAATTATTTGAAAAATATTTATTTAAAAAAGTTACCTCCCTTGTAAATTGACCGAATGTCGTAGTCTTTGTTTACTTTCTTTTCACAAACAATTGCAATGCTAATATAAGAAAATACGGTATCTGGACATACTTACACGACCATAATGGTTTTTTTCCGAAGGGAATAACAAAATTTTGTTACCCTTCAGGGTCGGTCTACGACCTCACGAAATATCAGGGTGATCGTTCTTTTTTTTAAATATATAGCTGATTTAAGGAGAATATCACTCACTCATTATCACATTTTAGCCCTCGCTTTGCGAGCAGAGGCTGACCGATAGATTATACATAAGGCAGATTAATTTACTCAGCACTATGCAAAAAAATGAGCCAGATGACCCCGTGAATCCTGCAAATTTTGAAGCGCCTGCGGCGTCAGGAAGTGCCCTATCTGGCACCCTACAACATTGCTTTATATATAGATAAATATACATTAATTTTACACGTTTTTGTTAAGTATAATTAAAACTATTATCAGTTTATTAAACAACATAAAACAACATATCAGGCCTATTAAATTACTATATCAAATCTACATAGTCGTCACTACCAATTATAAAAATTTGCATGCAATGCAAACTGAAGATGTAAATTACATGTATGATGTATTTTATATTTTACCAGCGCATTGCCGCGGGGATAAATGGAAGTCTGACGAAACATAAGAACGGTTTCATCAATGCGTTACCAATCCTATGTTCTTAGTCGCGTGACATTGTTTCTTAAAACTGAGTTATTTAAATGTAAACAATACCTGCGTTTGGATCATAAATAACAAGATACTGGTTTAACTACACTACCGCATGAAAACCAAGAATGTACGTTAATCACTGACCGAAATAATGAGGTAGAACACACTTCGGTGACTGCCCATGTGTCAGAGACGTAGAGTGGCGCTCTCGGACGCCCTCGATTACACTACCGTAGAAGCGTTCCTGGTCACGCAATCTACGGTTGCGCATGATGGCATTTAACGCAGAATATAGCAGTACTCCTTGCCCGCTATGCAGGACGCACGATTAACGGATGCGAAGTGCTAACATAGCCGCTCTGGAACACTGGACGCCAAATTGTGTATTGACATATCACAGAAACCTCCCCTGCAGTGTTCTCGTTAACTCCGCAAAGTTTCATGGCAATCGGGTGAACGGTGTCAAACCGAAATGGACTTTTATTTTTTATATACCGTTTACAGAGAAAAAACAATCGCGCCCTACCGGGGCGTCACCCCTACGAGTTTGAAATTTCTTTTTTCTCAGAAACCTCTTAAGGAGTATTGTCAACAACTTACCGAAGTTGCGATTTGATGTAAGGTGTGGTGATGCGTAAAAGACAGACAAACAAACTCATATACACATACATTGCTTGTTATATATATAGATAGACTAGTTATCGGTACCTTTTACCAGTGAATTTTTAAATAGTATACTTGTTTGAGAAAAATGTTTCATAAAAGAATGATTTGTCAAACTGCAATGTACTTTACTACTCTTTGACCGTTATTAATTACAAAGCATACACATAACTAAATAGCTAAATAGCTAAAAATCCGACGCACTAGTCTTTAAAAGCTTATTCCAGATGGTTCAATGCTTGAAGACTTGTGGTTTATTACAAAGTAAAGTTTCCTAATTTAGTTGTAGCCCTTGGTTGAGTGTGTTTACATGGATGCGAGAAGTGTTCACGTGATTTGTGTCAGGTGATGGATGTCAGAAAATGGCTAGTGTGTGAAGTAGATTGATGTAGTGTGGTTGTGTGCGTGGCTGTGAGCGTGGAACTTTGTGTTAACTCTTTACAATTCTCAGGTTTAGTAGAAAAATATTGGAGTACACTGGTCTCAATTGTAAAATGTCCACTAGACATTATTAAACAAGGAAAGTATATAGTGTTATGCACCATTCTTTAGGTAATTGAATAGAGAATCAGCAGAGATTAAAAAATCCAATGTAGCAGGTATGGCCTTGAGGGCACAATTAATTAATTAATTAAATTTGATTTTACTTTTTTAAAAACAATTACATGAAAATCACCAAGAACAAAAAAAATAAGCCAAGTCCTATAATGAAACAAAGTAATGTTTATTGGATAGATAAATCAATTCTGCATTTAAAAAAGGTGATGTGATGCATTTAGGACAAGAACTAAAAAAAATATACAATACACAATAACATGACCTGTGTAAGGGGAAATAAGTAAAAAATTTATAAAAAAGTAATCTGCAAAGAAATTAATATAAAATAGGATAAGGTTATTGATAACAAAATAAAAACAATAAGATTCAAGAAGATTCATGAAATTATAACAAACAGTTACTCTTTTTGTGAATACGGATATGTATCACAAGTGCGACACCTAGTGTTGACCCCCCCCCCCCAATATTTATTACTTATAATCCTGAATACTAATTGCTTGATCAACATACAACTGTGTATAATTACCTCCTACCTATGTTCTGCTGTTTACCTTTACTGAACCATTAGCTGTCTTATAGCTTGACATCACAGACTGTTTTAATTATAGCGCCACTTAACTGTTACAATGTCACCCTCGCTAAACCATAGCATGTCACCTCTTTTTGAAACTTTTTCAAAAGACCTATCTTTTAGGGCAATAAGAAAACCTTTCCTATTTTTATAATTGTGCCACAAACACCAATTCCACATTTAAAAGATCTTTAAATAGTTTAAGTTTAGTGTACAAGTTGTCAAAAAATAAAAGATATACCGCACGCAAGACTGATTGTGACAATATGGTAACTACATCATAAGATAGGCCAGAGGTGGAAGTCTGTGGTGTCTTGTCTTCAAACATCAGCAAACCTAAAAAAATAACTCATTTATAGATCTATAGTTAAATTTTACCATCTTTTGGAAATAGGTCTTGTAAGTCCACATTGTGCTGCATAATGGTTGGTATACATAACAATTGTCTTCACCATATCCACTGTAAAGTACAGCTTGACGAAATGACACAGGGCTCAGGGATTCCCTAGCAGCTCTTTTAGTTAAAATGTCCCCATTGACTAAGATGTGTTCCATGTTTCTTAGCAGGTTGGAATTTAGGATCTAGAGGTCCACCATCTACATCAGGATGCTGTCTTGGGTCTGAAATCAAAACATAAAATATATGTTGACTTGGCTAGATAATTTATTATAAATATAGGCCTAATACTTAGAATATAAAATAATGTAATAGCTATAAAAACAAGAGAATATTGAAATACTTAAAATATATATTAGAAACTAAGCAACTATAGTTAGTTAACAGTGAATATAAAGCAGAAATATTTAGACAAAGCTACAAGATGCTAGAGCATACACTGTAAACAGCTCCTTAGCAACCATTTTTTTTTATTTACTGGTGTGAATGGGGCATTTTATTTTATTTTTATTTAATATTTTATAAATAATATAAATACTTCATATTATATCGATATTTCTAGAAGAGGCTGGTGTAATTAATATGAGTGTTTGTTATAATGATTAATTTCATGGTGGGGCAATTTAATTAAAAATGTTCAGTCTTAACATTGAAAAAAAAAAGTTGTCAACTCACCGATGCCTGTCCCTATGTTGTGTTGAGTTATTAACTGAGATATTTCCCAAATCATCGTTTGAATCTTCGAATTCTGTTTCCACAATATCTTCATCAGACGATTCATCACAAAATCTCATATCACTTGCGGTTTTAAACATTTTATTTTCATTTAATTCGAAGAGTCTGTCTCAAATCGACTTCACTAAAAATCCAAAATGGCGTAAGCAAGGCATGCTCGGTTCAAGCGTTTTCTTTCGCTTTTTTCATAATAAGAAAATAAGTTTCGCATTTTATGTGTGTTTTTTATAAATGCTAAAACAATTAGGAAAATAATGACATTTTAAAAAAATAAAAAAGCTTAGGGATTATTATTAAAAAATACACATTTCTGCGTCGATCTTATAAGAACGATAGCTAAGGGAGAGAATTGAAAAGAGTTAAGTATCGTTATTTGTGTTGTAGAATATTCAACACTACCCCCTCCCGCCGTCCCTTTATTCCCCCCCCCCCCCCTCCATCCGGCCAGTGAATGCAGCCGTTTACAAAGAAAAGATCTTTCAGAAATTGTTACCTTCCCTCCGTTTCAAATCGTTTAATACTACATTATCTGCCCCTTATAGCCGTCACTAACCCGGTTCTACGATTGTAAACACAGATCACCTGACAGGTGGGGATGAGGGTGGTGGCTTAGCTGCGTAGTGTTTTCTATGGTCTCCTTGAAAGAAAATTATATATATAGATTATATATTACCCTACTTAAAGAAAATCGTTTATTTTTTACTTTTTAGTGCATTATTACTTAAAAGCTTCTTATTATTAAAACGTTTTTTTCGGGAAAAAAATTCAGTTGTTTTAAAGTTTTCATTTACAATAGAGTTGCATGACTAAAAACTTTGCGCAACTAATGAACATGAAAATGTGCGTATAGTGGTGCGGAATGGTTGGATAGGTCTGCCTACTAAACTTGACACAACTTTAATTAATTAATAAAACAAAATTATTAGTCAACCAATTAAGTCAAATGTAATGTCCTTTTGCATTGTCTTCATGTTTTGACACACTTGCCAACTTTGAAACGAATCTGTCAGTTAGAAATGCCCTAAATTGCGCTCGAGCGTTTCGATCTACGAATACAGGCTGTCGACAGAATGGACGAGGAAGAAAGTTAAAAAAACCTTGTAAAAAAAGATAACTATATTATATAACAAAAATAAACACAAAATGCAAGCGAATAGAAAACTATAAAGGGAAACTACTCAAATATTTTATTTGAAAGATTCTTTTTTTTATTATTAATAGGGTTTATCATTAAAAATTGAATTTTATAGGCCCTGTAAAATTTATTATCTATCTATCTATATACTACTAAAACTGGGCGCAGGGAAGGGTCGCTACGCCTCTGAGTGACAGACGTGATGTTTTTTATGGATGACCCCCGAAACACACAGTTATCCAACGGATGACGGGTAGTCTAGTATACTACTAAAACTCAAGTTTGTTTACATGTTTGAATATTTTTTTTTGTCTGATTGACTATTGTAAATGGTTCTACTCTATGTGGAGAGCTGTAAAATAGTATGTAGGTAGAGAACATTTTTTGTTTTAAGACAGACTGTTAATCACAAATTTATTTAAAGACGTTAATTAATTTATAGGTAGATTAACCACAATAATTTTAAAGTTTTAGAACAATGGCTTTCTTTGACTGAAAAGTGACGTCACACGGTTTGTTTATTTCTTAGTACAATAGAGTCCTTTCATATGACGTCACGTCCGTTCGTGATACCTACGCCGCCGCCACAGTGGTGTACATCAGACGTAAACACAATCAGCTGTTCACCAGCGCTGGACGTGTTCACCGTATGTAATGAATCGCGCCCGCGGAAAAGGAAAAATATGTTAAAAAACTTTAACTCTTAGGAATTGAAGATCCTTATACTGTTATTGACAGTTTCGTAGATAATATAAATATGTGGCCAAAATTTCTAAATAAAAATACTGTTAGTAATACTGTTTGCGTTTAGAGTTTAAGTAGACGAATCTGATCAAATGCAGTTCTCGATTTTTTGTTTCAGGTAAGGACAGTAAAATAATAAACTTCATTTTAATTATAAAAGATAACTATTAATAAAAGACAAAGTCAAAATTAATAATAAGAAGAATAAGATCTAATAGTAGGCCTAATAATAGTGTTTTAATATCTAGATCTAGAATCTAGCTCTAAATACACCCATAATAAATCAAAAGTAGTCATAATAGGCCTAATAAAGCATTTAATTGTCTCTAAGATCTAAAATCTCGCTCTATAATCTAATCATTTTTTTAGCAAACGACATTTTCTGAAATTGAAATAGATTGTATGACTAGACTTAGATCTAGAATCTGCTACTTAAATTAAATTGTAAAAACTTTATACAAGCATGTAGTTGATATTACTGTAGTAGAAGGCTTTAATAAATTACTAAGGCCTACCTACTTTGTTGTCTTTTTACAGCAATATGTATCTGATACTGGACTGAGTTTAATTAAATTCAAATAGATCTATAGTATTTGTTCTACTAAGTTTTTGTAGCCTAGTAGTACAATATAGATCATACCAGCCAACAACAAATAACCACATTATTATTATTTTGGTTAATGATTAGGCTAATTTTTTTTTTAAATCCACTGTTTATAAAAGAAACAAATCAAGCTAGAAACATTATAAGTGAGATGGTTTAGAATAATAACAATGGACCCAGTCTACAATTGATATAATTGCAGGTCTACATAGGGCCTACAGTCTAGTAGTTTACAGTAGGCACCTAGTGTGTAGCTAGTATACTAGTGTGTAGCTTTCCCCTGATAAGCCATGTGTGCTATAAATGACATAACATGACATCGAGGTGAGAAATGTTGAGGGGAGAGCAGTGGGACTTTCCCCTTTGTTCTCCCTGCTGGGCCCTGAGGGTCAAAATTATATAAGAAATACTATCTCTGTGGGGCTGGGTATCACGGAGGTGAGACATTTTCAGGGGAGGACAGGGCAGACTCCTCTTTGGTTTTATTGTGGGCTAGATACAGGTGGGGGCAGCCATCGTGAGGGTTGAACATCAGTATTAATGTGTCTGATCACTTCCCTGCTGGATTATAAGGTCTTAAATTGTATAACATGCTACCCAGATTGGTTATTACCCAAGGATTATAATATTAGTCGTTGAAGTGTGGGTTTTGTAGAAGTTAAGTGGTCTCACGTTTGCTACAGTAGATAACCTATAATATATTACTGCATTTGATCAGATTCGTCTACTTAAACTCTAAACGCAAACGGTATTACTAACAGTATTGTTATTTAGAAATTTCGGCCACATATTTATATTATCCACGAAACTGTCAATAACTGTATAAGGATCTTCAATTCCTAAGAGTTAAAGTTTTTTAACATATTTTTCCTTTTCCGCGGGCGCGATTCTTTACGTACGGTGAACACGTCCAGCGCTGGTGAACACGTCCAGCGCTGGTGAACAGCTGATTGTGTTTACGTTTGATGTACACCACTGTGGCGGCGGGCGTAGGTATCACGTGATTTAGGTCACGTGTTTGCAAGGACTCTATAACATGGCGGCTTCTATCGAAGAAGATTGTGTTCCCATTCCAAAGTTTAACGCGTTCTAAAGCTAATTTTCTGTCGGCTATAACTTTAACAATACGTCCGTTTGCTGAATTTATTACGTTCCAACACTTATATAAATTTTCAACTGTCTTTTTCATGTAGTTTTACAATAAATTTCTCTAGCTCTACAATCTGTCCAAGAAAGTTATTTATAGATCTAGATCTAGAATCTAGGTCGAATCAAAGATTTATTAGTTATAAATAACATCCAAAAAAAAAAAAAAAAACGAGACATAAGCAAACCAGACGTAGATCTAGAATATCGATAATTTTATCTAGATTTAGATTTTAATGAGTTTCTATATACTAAACTTTTTTAGACCTTTATTATTTTGTATAAATCTTTGTTTCGAATATGCTAATTTGGAAATGCTCGATCCAGGGCCTATTTGCGTAGCTTAAGATTCATACGCGGCTTCTATACCGCTAATTTTGCAAAATTATAAACGTAAATTCTAAATATAGCTCAGTCGTAGATCTAAAATATAGATAATTCTATCTAGATTTAGATAATGATGAGTTTCTATATACTAAACTATTTTAGACCTTTATTATTGTATATAAATCTTTGTTTCGAATATGCTAATTTTGAAATGCTCGATCCAGGGCCTATTAGCGTAGTTAATGATTAGATCTAGATTCTAGATCTAGATCTAGCAAGAGTTACGCAAAAACTACACTTAAGACTTAAGCAAACGAGTCGTAGAATCTAGATCTAGATAATTCTATCTAGATCTAGATAATTTCAAACCTTCATTATTTTATATAAATCTTTGTTTGGCTAATTTAAGATAAAATTTAATTTGAAAGTTACTACTACTAAACTTAGATCTACATCTATACGCGTAAATCAAGTTGCATAAGGAGACTCAAAGTATTAAACTATAGTATAAAAATTCATCTGTGACGTCAGAGTTAAATAGCTAAGTTGTTAGTGTAATCGGCTTGCATGCGAGCGGCACAGGTTCTAGACCAATACGTCAATGATATTTTTTTTTCTATTTTTTTTTAGATGTGATTGATCAAGTTGCCTATCTGAACTTGGCGGGATACAGGGCAGGTGAAGTAGAGTTAATCTGTTTGTTTGTCCTCAGCATATGAAGGGATAGTGTGGTCAGAGATATGCTCGGCTGGAATCGTTTTTAAACGGTAAAAACATGTTGTCTGAGACTTGGCGGGACACTGGGCAAGTGAAGTAGGGTTGAGTAAGTCATTTGTGACGTCAGTATATGAAGGGATAGTCCGAAATCGGTGTTTTCGGTGTTTTTAAAAGAAAAAAAAACATTTTTGAATGTGGGGTCTGTTTTTTTGTGACGTTAAGTGACACTGCAGTAGCGTAGCGAGGGGGGGGGGCATATGTCTCCGGGCGCCGACCTTAGGAGGCGCCAAAATTGGTTGGAAAAATAAATTGAAAGATTGAGGGGGTGCGAATTGAAAGTTTGGGGGGGGGGGGGTTGCAAATCGAAATCTTGAAGGGGGGTGCACATCGAAAGTAGTTTGAGGGGGGGGGGGGGTGCAAATCGAAATATTGTGTGGGGGGGAGGTTCAAATCGAAAAGTTTATCCCCGGGCGCCGAAAAGGGTCGCTACGCCTCTGAAGAACAGACGCGATGTCATTTATTGATGACCCCCCCCCCCCGAAACCCACAGTTATCTAACTAGATAAAGGGTAGTTTAGTATACTACTAAAACACAAGTTTGTTTACATGTTTAAATATTTATTTGTCTGATTGAATATTGTAAATG